CTTAAAAAACCAGCCCTTCATATAGAGCCATGTTCTATCAAAGCTCATCAGTAAACAATGACTAAAAAGCTGTCTAATAGAATTCTTTTCTATTTATTTGCTATTTTAAATTTGATGTACATCAGAAAATATCATTAAAGGAAGTGATATTCCCATGACTATAATTTACCCTTCTTGTACATTCAAAACATACACAAAACCATGACAAGATATTAATAAAATAGATGACACACACATGTGCATCATGCAGCAATCCTAAAAAAATTGTATCTGCAGTACTGACGATGTTCATGTGCATCATGATACAGATTTTAGTTGAATAAGCATATATGCCTATAAATACACTATCTTATATTATTTTACATTATTAAAATACAACAAATCAGAAAACCACCAACACCAAAATTAAGACACATCTGCTACAGTTACTTTATATACAGAATAGAAGTGACAAATCAAATGCTAAGACAGAAATTTCAAATAGATGTCTACTGTAAATCCTACAGAACAATCAGATTCATACAAAAAAAATTATGGCTAGCAAGAAAAAATGTCATCTATGAAATCCTTTTTCCTGCAAAAACACAATTTGATGTCAGAACAAAACAACAAGATTAATGAAAACACAAAACTGCCATATATATATGTCATATCTAGTGCCAACGAGGCCTTTTACCCAATATCAGAGCTAAACACACCAGCTGGGATAAGGAAAACAGGAGTTTAAATTATGATTACCTGTAGTAAGAACTTGTCTTCATCTGTTAGAGCATCAAATGGCTTCTTTTGTCTTTCGTACTCACGATATGCTTTTACCTGATAAGAAAAAAGAAAACAACAAAAAAATATTTACCAATTATTCCTCCCATTCTGAAAACCAGTTGATTACTAATGACTAGTAACTGTAATCTGGGCTCGAATTTAAACAGATTTTAAATACAATAAGAAACAGGCAATAATGATTGCTAACTTCATCTATTGTGCCAATATATATATATATATGCAAACAAACTGTAGCATTAGCTACTAACACATGTAATCTCATATTAATGCAGTTTTAAATCATAAAAACTAAAATAAAAATGTCAGATACAATTGCATACAAATCAAATGAAGTAATACAGAGTAAAATGGTTTGTAATAAAACTTTCTCATTAAAACAACAAACCTCTTTCTCATTGGGTACCATCCGTTGCAAGATTTCCACACTTTCATGTGAAAGAACCTTAAGATCAAAATTGTTGATTGCACGCACTAACAGTTCACTATTTAGCTCCATTTTTCGACTGGAGATGGCAATATTTCGAAGTCTAGTATGTTCAAGCAAGGTAACTTTTTCAGGAACCTACACAAAATATAAATCAACAGTAACCCCTATTTAGTGATAACACTTTACACTGAATATTCTGTAATCAACAAGATTCTCTCTCTCTCTCGTGAAAAAATTAAAACATTAATAGAGATTTGTTCCTTTTTATACTCTGTAATCAACTATCAAGGCTTATAAAAGTCTTTCTTTTTCTAGTAAAATAAATATCTTCTGTTATCTAAACAACACTGATAGAATTAACTGAACAGACTCCTGTCCCTCTTAGAACCATTAGGAAGGGTAAAAAATTTACAACAAGCAGTAAAAGTTTGATATTCATACTGTTTCTCAATTAAGATACTCATTTGTAAGATTGCAATTTATTACAAATTCACTGAAGAACCCAAACACTTATCAAGTATTAAACATACAAATAATTCCCAAAATATATTAAATTAAAAAATACCAGGCATTATTTTCAGATAAAAGCAGAAATTATTCTATTTACAATTAAAATTTAAAATTAGTAACTCTTATGTCATCTATTCAGTAAGAAGACTATTTTTTTTTTCTAACCCTATTTTGGCTCAGGCTAACATAATTATAGTGATTTGCAAAAGTAGGGGTAAGAACTTTTAAATTTTAAGTAACTCAGTTTTGTACTTTTGACTTTCTTCTTTCAATATTTTTTGTAGCATTAAAACTTTCTATAACATTATAGCTAGCTGGGTTACATATATATTGATCCCTATTTGTCTATATAAAATTTGCAAAATATTTATTATACTTGTATAGAATACACTGATCAGTCACTTTTTTACAATCTCTATTTTATAAGTATAATTTATATATACAAAGGATTAGTCATAATTTATAAAAGCAATGTTCCAAGCTCCAAGCTTCTTTTGGACTAGTTCCTCCATTAATCCTGCTCAGTCTGATGTCCACTATTATGCACTATTGCTCAACACTGCAATTTCTATGAAGAATGGGAAAGATAATACCAGACTACTATCTTGTCAAGCTTTCCACATATCCTGCACCATACAGAATATATTCACATAATTTCACGAGTGCACAGTTAGGTGACTTCACAGGTATAGAGATTTCATTCTCCACTGTTTGCAGAAATGCTGCTGTGGAAGCAGATGTGTGGTTTAATACTTTATCCAAATGTAGCCATATCTTCTTGACAATACTATACATTGCGGAAATTACATTTCACATAATTACTGTTAATACACTCTTCTGACAATAAACAATTTCCTTTTGCTTCACTGTGCATTTTATGAACTCTTAAATTTCCCATTATACAAGAATATGTTTCAACTATAAAGCCCTATAAAAATGTTCTTAACATTCAGAGTTCTAAGATAGAACGTTCTTATTTACCTTGTGGTTGGTAAAAAAATCCATTTCTTAAAGCACTTTTCAGGTTTAAAGTATATTTGATATCTTCCTGCAATTTGCCTTTCCCTCACTAATGTGTCTAGGAGCAACTAATGCACTTGTGGTCTATATCTATTTACAAGGGCAAGACCTTTGTGAATTATCTTGTGCACAATAGATTTTGATATGCAAAACATTTTAAAAAAGCAGTCACTTTGTTTAGTTGGGTATGTTCCTGGACAATTTTTCTGCAAATGTTTACAACATTAGAGGTAATCCTATTTGTGGTGAAATGTGTTTCAGGTTTTAAATTCTCCTGTTAGCACTAGTCTTGCAAACTTTGACAATGGTAAAAATTCTACATGTGGTTCAGGTGGTTTTACATTATCCTATTAGTACTGATCTTGCAAACTTTGGAAATGGTAGAAATTCCAAATGTGGTTCAGGTCGTTTTACATTGTCCTATTAGTACTGATCTTGCAAACTTTGGAAATGGTAGAAATTCCAAATGTGGTTCAGGTGGTTTTACATTGTCCTATTAGTACTGATTTTACAAACTTTGGAAATGGTAGAAATTCTACATGTGGTTCAGGTGGTTTTACATTATCCTATTAGTACTGATTTTACAAACTTTGGAAATGGTAGAAATTCCAAATGTGGTTCAGGTGGTTTTACATTATCCTATTAGTACTGATCTTGCAAACTTTGGAAATGGTAGAAATTCCAAATGTGGTTCAAGTGGTTTTACATTATCCTATTAGTACTGATCTTGCAAACTTTGGAAATGGTAGAAATTCCAAATGTGGTTCAGGTGGTTTTACATTATCCTATTAGTACTGATTTTACAAACTTTGGAAATGGTAGAGGTAATCTTACATATGGCTGAATGTGGTTTAGGTGTTATTTTTTTTATTTTGTTAGTGCTCATCTTGGAAACTTTAGAGATAATTCTTTATGTGGTGAAATGCGATTTACATTCTCCTATTAGTGCTGATCTTTTCTAGCCAATACTATTCATTATGTATTATGAGTAGATATACTTCTCCCAGGCTTTGGATCTCTTTATTGTTTCACTATATAAATATTATTCATAGGAAAGGATTCTCTAGTCATAGGTTCATCAATGACTGAATTACTCTACCATACAATCAGAAATTTGCTGAGAATCAATTATATAAGTGCTACGTATATAGCACATGGTTACCACAGGTTGTAGCTGTGGTAACAATGCCACTGTATTAGCATATGCAAAATCCTCTTGCAAAGTATAATAAAAATTACATAAAGTACATATATACACATACAGAGAGATACACTGACTGGTCACTCTAGCTCCAGGACTTAGTGTGGCATAAACCTCATAAGGTGCTAAGGCATGTTGTCTAATGGTAGCCCACCCATCAAGGAGTGTTGTCTACACCCACCTCACAGATACAAGAACAGGAATAGTGTGGCAAATGCAATGTTCAAGTTCATTCCAAGGTCCTCAATCATATTAGCATCTAATGATTATACTTGACAATGAATAGTGAAGTCACTGCCGTGCTTCTTGGATCAGTTTTGAATAATACAAGCAAATTAAATTGTTCCATCAGAGTAGATATGTCAGGTTGATAACAACATTCAAATACACTATTGGATATTAGTTGCCCTTCTAAAGGTATCAAAGACCCTACCCCAGATACAATAATGCTCCCCTCCCATCCCAAACACCATCACACTACCTCCAGGATAGCTTGGACTGCTGGAACAACACAAGCAGCTTAATTGTCTCAAGCATTTTTAAACACATTTTCATTCTAACATTTATTATAAGTTAACTATTACAGATATCTGTCATGTGGATGTTACATTTAACTTACCTTGAAGCGTTTACTACCAAGAGTTTCATCTGTTTGATCATAAAATCCTCCTCGTTGACTCAGTTTAAACTGTTCCTCAAAATGTACAAAATCTATCACCTAAATTATGAAGATATACCAACAGATCAATACATTTATAAATCAAGATGCCAACACAAGCAGTTTTTTTAAAACACATTGATTGAACTAACATATTTTAAGCTAATATAAAAGTACAAATTTAATACTTGAAGATGTTCTGTATAAGTCTTCTTTGCCAAATTTTTTATGTTCCCTATATGTTTCATAAAGATAACTAAAATATGCATGGAATAAAAAACTTTGTGTAAATTTATAAAATCAGTCATTAATATTTCAAAGATATAAATCAAAAACTAAGTCTAAAAATTCCCAATGTACCTGTCTAGGAAAGAAACAACACTAAGCAACACTTTTAATTACTGTTTAGGTAAAAAAAACCATTATGAATACTTTTCTAATGGACATGGCTCCCTTTAAACAAGTTTAGCTATTATGTTTCAGTTACTTCATTGTGATTTCACCAAGTTCTTTGAGGACTTAAAAGCATACATTAGAGTAACTAAATCATTTTCCTCAGACTTTGCCCAAAACAACTATTGCATGTATATCAGAACTTCAGTAATTTACTGTTAGGTTACTGAACTAAGAAGAATTACAATGCTATGTTGAGAGCAATGTTACATATGTCAAAATGGTATCTGTAAGGGAAGTCGACTACATATTATGCCAGTTGCATGTTTGTATGATGTGAAAACATGATGCTTGAAAAAACAAGCAATTTTCAAAAACTTCCATCATTGATCAGAGATGTAAAATTGGAGTGTTAGAAAGTTACAGTAAATAATACTTCTAAATTATTGTGTGAGATTTCAAACTAGATAAATTCACTGTGAAAAATCTTTTACAAGGTAAAACATTCAAATGTAATTAGTTTTAGCTGAAGCACATAGACTTTTGTGCAAAGACATGTACAATCAGTAAGTAAACTGTATAATGTTCAGACTGTCATGATATTGAGTATATAGTCAAATGTATCTGTATGGTATCAATGTGAAATCTACAAAGTTACTATCTTCCAAGTTTCCCAACAGGTCTTCTATGAGATCAAACTGATGAGGTAAACAACAATTTAAAACTATTGACTTTTGGTTAATATCTGCTGCCATTACCTATCAGATTTGTGAAAATTTTAATAGCTGTGGCTGAATTAACAACAATCATGAAGGTTTAGTAATATAACCATAGAAAGGTTATAACATATTGGATGATTGTTAAAACATATATAAAAACTGATGAAATTAAACTACTAAATTGGGTTGGACAAAATGAATTACATACAAATTCATGTCAGTATTAAGACTATGAACTTGTAAAAACCAATGTACTTCCTACAATGAAAGTTTGCAAAAAATAATACATATTTATTTTTTCATAGATACTTTAGAATACAATGTATAACTAAAGGTCTTCACATATTTTCTAGTGCATTACATCATATATACAAATATTTCAACTGCTGAATAACAATTTTCACCTTCACAGATACCTATAACAGGTTATGGTGAGAAATCAGACAACCTTTCATATACAAACATCATTTTATCAAAAATACTCAGGCAGCATACCCCGAGAAGAAGGAATCCCTCCTCCCCGGAGAATGTGTTTGTATTAACTTTTGGGTTAATCATTGTTTGGATTCTGTAACTCACACTTGCTGCTAACTGTTGATACACATCTAGTTAAATAAACTATTTCTTTTGTAAAGCAGTTCCAAGTGTAGTGAGATTTCACAGTCTGTCCATTAGATGATGTTCCAAAAGCATCAGAATAGTTCAGTGGGTTTCAGGTTGGCATGGTATAACTAAGAAAGTTTTGGATATTTATCTCGAGTCACGTTATGTGTTATTTTACAACACATTATCACATGTAAAGAGGTGTTGTTCTCCAGAAAATTCCATCACTCTAGGCATTGTAGGATATTCCAAAATGTCAAATAAAACAAAGCATTAATTGATCCATTAACTATTACTAGTGGTCCAAGTCTAGACTTACTATTACAGTCTTTCAACACTCTCCAAGGTAAGGAAGATACTGTCATATCCAAAGTATTCTACATCTATCCTTTCAAAGCCAACAGAGTAGTGTAATTCACTGCTCAATAAGAAGGGTTTCTTTCATTGTTTTTCAACACTTAAGGCACTAAGAAATTTAACATTTTGCATACATGGGTATGATTAAGAGTTTATTAGTTTCAGCCCATCTTTGAAATATAGTATCTTGAAACTTTTTACACCTATCTAATGTGTTGGCTTGAACAACTCTTGTTACTTTTAGGTGATGGAATCAATGCTAAAAGTATGGTTTTGTTTAGAGAAACATATTTCAAGATTCAAATGAATCAAACAGAGATTACTATTTGATGATTGAATTGGTATTTACATTTACAAGACCAGTGATATTCCATTTCTTTGGTACATTACTTTGTAAGTTTAAGTATGAGTAAATAGTTTGCAATATCTGCAAGTTCCTCTTTTATGGCATCTTGACTCCAGTTGGCTAGGTGTAGCAGCTACTGAGTATTATAAACGAACACAATACAGCAATGTGCCATGGAATTAACATGCAAGTTCAGGAATGACTTGCTCATTATAAATTGGGATGCAATGTTCCAACACTTTTGGTTTGAACAAAAAAAATCCTTGTTTTTTTGCTAATATAATCATTTAAAGCTAATAATTTTTCAATCTGCATGAAACATATTGTATGGTTTTAGGACAAGTTTTCTTACCTTGTATAACTTTTCATCATCTAACTCATTAAACACTGTTCCCTTTACTTGATTTGGTTTCAAGGCTATCCAGTTCAGTGAAGGAAGTTTGTATTTGGGTTCATATTTCTTCTTGATTGTCATGGCTATAAGATATTAAGTTTCAAACTTACAATGTAATAAATGCCAAGGCAACTTTTGTCTTCAAATATATAATACATTATGACTGAATGATAATAAAATACAGATGAAAAACACTTCTTTGCAATGGCACACAACCCTTACAAAGAATGCACAATATTTTTTATCAAACAATTTCCTGCTTGGGATTCGTGTCATAGAATAATCTGTGTAAGCAATTTTCATTCACTTTTGAAAAATTCAGAAACAATTCCTACAAATTTCATTAAACAATATTTTTTCATTGCCAAAGACTTTGTTGGTGTCAGAAGAATAAAACAGGCAAGTTTCAATCTTTACAACAAGTTAATAATCTGCAAATTATTTTACAGCACAATATGTTTTATTATATGAAAAAGTGCAATAAATATACTGTTAAAAATAAATGTAATTTTGACTGATCAAGCTCAAGTATCAGATATAACATATAACAGCTAAATCCAACTCATCCCCCAGCTCACAATACATTTCCTTGTCTTTATGACTTAACGAAATACCACAGATAATTTGAAATACTAAATAATGTAATTTTTATGGTATAGTTTGGTAAATCAAATTTTATTTCACTTTAAAACTCCAGTATTAATTGAACTACATTATTTTTTTAACCATTATCAATTTCACACTGCTTATAAAATAGTATCTTAATCCAATATAATAATTTTTGGATGACTATTTCTCTAAATTACCCAAACTGCATTTCCTGGAAGTTTACTTCAAAGAGATCTTTTGTGCATCTAATTAAAGTTTATAGCTTTACTACATTTGTTTCTTTTCCCAATCCTTCAGAAAATTTCTGTAACTAACTAGAAAAGAGAAGAAGTTAATAGAAGGATAGTCCAAATGTTTTACAAGTTCTGCAACCAGGCTAAAGATGTGACACAGGAAACAGTTGATTTACCTTTTTTAGTTCTTTAACATTATTTTTTATAATCTTACATTCACTTATTCTTGGTTTTTGATAATCATAACAATACTTGAGTTTAATGTCAATATATGTTATCTCAGTTTTCTAGCTGAAATCTGGAGTGTTTTAGAAACAATTGTAAAAAACATATCTTACTGTGTATAAAAGATAATCATTCCAAATATTTTCCACATAATATTTTTTGTAAAATGATACTTAAAATCCGTTGTTAATTCAGGGAACCAAGAAAAAAGCCTATGAAATTTAAAGGTCTAAAGCAAACTGACTGATTACTTCATTTGCTACTTGTACCTCATGTTGATCAACATAACAGGTTCTATGGAGAAAAATTTATTTGTAATATCCTTTCACGTTCCTGTAAAATTCTGGCTTCTACTACTGCCAATGCAAACTCATTTCATAAGCCAGTCACCCCATCAGAAAAATAAAACTGCCTTAAATGGAACCTAGCTTGTCTTTTTGAAATCTTAAAACTTGAGTCCTCTTGTCTTCAAAATATAGTACAAAGATATCAGAGGCTTTTATCCTAATGATCTTGAGAATAATCTTGTAAACTTACATAAAATCCCCTCTTCCCCTTCTTTCCACAAGAGAAAATAAAAAATCTTATCCTATCCCTATAAGGTAATTCTTCTACTTGCAGAATCATCACACTAACCCTCCTGCAAACCCTTTCCAATAAGTCAATATCTTTTCTAGATAAAAAAACTACTCAGTATTTCAAGTGAGACCTAACTTTAATAATTTACTAATCACATTCCCAAAAGCATCATTAAAGTAAATAAAAAAAAAGCAAAGGCTTGAGCACTGGCTCAAAGTACTCCACTAACAAGAAACCATTTTCAATAAATACATTAATAACAACTTTTTGCTTTCTCTCATTCACTCATCCTATAACCCAATTTACCAAGTTTCCCCAACCCCTAACAATGTGCTTTTATTAGTTAATCTTTTTGTGTGTCACTTTATCAAAAGTGTTTTGAAAATCTACGTATACCAAGTCCAGATACTTATGCAATATTCTAGAAAGAAGTTAACAGATTAGTAAAGGTTTACTTCCTTTTAGTGAATCCATGCTGATCTTCTTTTATGACATCATATTTCACACAATTTTCAATGCTTCAATAACCAGGATTTCTAACATTTTCCCCACTACAGAAGTAAGACTAACTAGTCTATAAATCCTATGACAGCTCTTTATCTTTCTCATTAAAAATAGAAGTAACAATCATAATTCTCTGATCCGCAAGTGCCTGCCAACAGTTCATTGACCGACAAAAAGCTAGAGAGAGAGGGGCTCCCATACTTGATCTTTGACCTCCTTTTACATCTTCAGAAAAACAAATATTGTCTGCCCCAAATGTTTCATCTATTTTTAATTTCAATCTCTCTTTATCCACCTAGGAATTAATATACACTTAATGCAAATCAATTCCAATATTCTCCATAGAATGCTCACAATCAGGAATATTGCTAACATCCTCTCTTGTACACACAGAATTATTTCCTAATACTGTTGACTATATACTGTATAGGACAGAAAACTATAATTTTAGTTAAAGTAGCATACTTATATATTACAAAGTGACTTTACTTCTCAGAATAGGCCTCAGTTTATATTTTTAATGTTATACTGATAGTGTGTATAATATATATATCATCCTACACCCACAATAACTAGATTTAAGCATAAAGTAGACTAGTTGCCAACTGCATGTACACTCAGACTGTGTTTTAGCAGAAACTTGTATTTTATAAATATGTAATGTTAACAGAATGGCATTACATGAGCAAAGGTTCTCATTAGCTAGTTGTATGTCAATAAATACTGAACAGACTTGTATGTACTAATAATAATACAAGGTATTAAACAAACAAAATATGGTTCTTTTATTCTCTCATTGACTACAAGGAAAGGCAGTTTTCTTAAATTAAGATTTAAATTTCACCCATGGGGAATTACACGTACAATATAAAAATTTAATTTGAAACTCTTGAATCCTTGCAACCATTTCAGGTACTAATTATTTGATAACATCTTTCTGGTTTAAACAACAACGAAAAAGCATGGTACCACTGATTTTCCAGTCTGATTGTTTTTATGCAGAGAATGATTGTTAGCTCATCAGTAAGGAAAAAAAAAATTGGTTCTCAGGATATTTTTTTAAAAACAACTGTAACTAGGCATTTCTTTTCTATTTGGATTTCTTTGTAAATTAGTTTTGAGAATTAAGGAAGCAAAATTTCATTACAGTTAAATACAACATTGCCAAATAATTTTAATGTGCCTTGTTTGTTCTTTATAACAAAAAAATAACACTAATCCAAAAAGAAAGCATATTTTAATATTGAAGCTTTTTCAACATAGATGGTATTCTCTGGATAAGTTTTACCAAGAAAAAACTAACCAATAAGCGTTTCACATGCTTTTATGCTAGATAGTGTACTTAACTGTAGAATAGTTACACCAATTTGAACACAATTCCAGTTATGTTAGGTTAGTATTAAAAATGTTATTTTCTTTTTCTCCATAAAGAAAAAGAACGACAAAAGCTTTCATGCTGTGATCCCCAAAATCTAACAATTTTTTTTTGTTTGCCCTTGTCCACTTTTACCAGAAATTAGCATTTTCAAGAACTTTTAATTTCAAGGTTTCCAAGCACACAAAGTCCTGTTTAGTGCAAGCTGAAAAGGTTTAGGATTATTGTTAAACAAATAGATTATAAGGTGTGATTATCACACTAATTCTTATATGAAGTTAATTTCTAAGTTCCATACTGTTGACAGATATCTGAAGAAATCACAGCTTTCAGTAGGTTCTTCCTTAAATTTTCATTTGTTTGTATAAAGCTTTGATCACTTGTGCAATCACTGTCAAGTATACAACCTTAGGCTCAAATGTAACACATCATGTTTTTGTATTCTAAATAATGATCTACCAATGAACATTTAAATGTTGTATAGAATTTCTTATATGTAAGAGAAGTGTTACAGTTTTTTTCTTTTATATGCATCAGGAGTTTGGTAGGTTTAAAATAATCTGAAAAAATGATAATTAAAAACATTCTGAGTAGTGCCTGGGTGTTTGTTAGATTTAATTAGTAAGGTTTCTCTAATTCTTCTTTAATTAATGTTTGATTCATGTTTTAGTATGGTGACATTTTTGACAGAAAAAATTATGGTTGTTTTTATTCATGAGAGAGAGGTTTTTGTGTTCTTTTATCTGTGTGTGTCTAGTATACATCCATTTCACCTATATAAAAGGTCAGGCAGTTGTTGCACTGAATTTTGTATATGTTTCCTGGAGGGTTAGTTGTATAGTTTTCATAGCACGTGTTTGATCTTTATTCCTGGAGTGAACAGAATGTAATTGTTATGCTTGGGTCATGCTTTCATATTAACCTTTTCTAGCCTTAAACAAAGGTTATAATTTTCTAGTTACTTCCATCACTATCCCTATTTTGAAATTAAAAACAAGTTTTATGGGCATTTTGAAAAGACTAATGATATAGTTAAATTACAAATCCAATCAATCAAACTCATCTTCAAATACTGAAGAAACCTCCCTAATTCACCCGAAGTCAAGTGAAGAAGATGAATCTATAGAAATTTTCAAGATTAAAATAAGTAATATAAAATTAGTCCATTAAGAAAGTTTTTAAATAACTTTAGTTAAGAGGCTTTTAAGTTATTAAAAATCAACTAGCACATACAACAGATTTTGACAGCAGCACAAAAAATAGCTTCAAATGTTTTAGAAGTAACTAAGACATATCCAGAGAGCTGATAATAAGAAAAACTATAGTATTTCTACTGATCACACATGATTTGTAAATATAAAATACACTGAATGGAAAATTTAAATTGACCCATTAAACACTGACCTAAGCCTCACTTATAATAAGAAATTCAAAAAGTACTCAAAATACTATTTAAAGAAATGAAAACATTATGTATAAACTTCACAACCCTTTACCTGCAAACCATCCATGAACACCTAAATTATATGATCTGTCTGAAGTCCATCAGAAAGTTATAACCTTATGCCCAAATCAGAACTTCTTAAAATTCTTTTAACTATAATCTGAGCATAACTTTAATTATTCTTCTAAAATAAACTCACAGGTAAAAACACTTTACACTTCCTTCAACATTTACACAGCCTAGACAGTAATATCATTATGCATAGTTTTGATGTAGTAAATTTATTCTTTGAAAAAACAGCAGTATAATTTATTACATAAATTATTTTCCAAGACCTAATAAAATAAATTAATGTGAAACTAGAATACTTACTCGAACTCTTACAATTTGTTATAGTAATTTACTTTCAGTACAGAGATTCATACTTTCATCAGCAATATAATCTCAGTGTGGATAATCCCCAATAACATATGTCAGCCATCTTTTTTTCTACATCATATTGAACAATGTGCAATAAACACATCCTTACACAAGCCTTTGTTTTAGTTTTGATATGTTGGTGATGTTTGACGTCTATTTAAAGACAAAAATGAACAAACACTGCCAATATATAAACATTTGAGGACCATAAGGGACCTGTTGGTTCATTTAAGCTGTCCAATCCAATAAACTATATAAGGACAGAGAATTCATTGTTGAAATGAAAATAACAATGCAATAAATCTTCTAAATGTAAACAACACAAAATCCCACTAGGTTTCAACATAGAAATCCACAAGAAAAACACATATTGTGAAAATTACACAAGTTGGTTTTCTAACCATGTAATTCACCAAAAATTAAACACCTTAAAGTCCTCCTGCACTTAACATGTACTATATATACATCATTGCCAACACTGACAAATAAATCACACATTTAATCCAATGTTTCATTAACACTAACCAAATACCCTTCAAAACAGTTATACAAACCATAAATAAATAAACAACCCAAATAATACTGATAGGCAGAAAAATAAAAAACAACAACACCCAAACCTACCAAATAAAATCACAAGCACTATTCGTTTCATAGAATATCTTAGTATACCTCTTACAGAAATCTGGAAAATGTTAACACAAAAGCGTGACCTTGACATAAGTAGATTCTTAATCATTTCAGGAACAAAAATCAAATACAAACTAAGAAAATTATACAGCGAACCCTCTGGAAAATATTTACAAAATACAATGCATCAACTGCCTGTCCTATAAACAGGATGCAAATTAGGTGGAAGAACATAAACACATGAATAAAAATAAAAATCCCCAATTTTTCCCATCAAAAAACATCATAAACTTAAAACATGAACAAGGCATTAATGAAAGAAGAATTAGGGAAGCCACATTAATTGAATCTAATGCATCTACTATTAACAAACATCTAGGCACCACCCCCTGTATATTTTTTAATTAACATTTTCAACCTTGCCAAACTGCTGATACACACAGACACACAAAGAAAAACAGTAACATACATAGTAACACTTCCCTTACACATGCTAAAAAATTCAAAGTGACAACTAAGTGTTCATTGGTAGATCATCATTTAACATAAAAAACAAGTTACATTATGTTTAGCCTAAGCTTTGTGTACTTGACAATGATCACTCAAGTAATTGAAATGTCATACAAGTAAACAAAAATTCAAGAAAGAACCTACTGGAAAACTATTATTTATTCACATAATGTGGAAATTATATGATAAAAAGGTTGAACTATTTTTGCCTCATGGAACTGAGATTTGAAAGTATACAAATTAAAAAGCAGCTAAAAGGGCACAAATATATGTTAGTAAAGGTTATTTATAAGTAGTTATGAGTGATGAACTCTGCTGTAATTTGAAGAATGAGGAATATTACCACATGTAGTCATATATTTTAGGCAGATTTTGTTAAACAAGACCGATGTCTGTAG